GGTAAATGGCTCTAGTTTTGGGGGTAGAGTAGGAGGAGAAATAAGTAAGAGATAAGATAAAGAAGAGACTAAGAATAAGAACTTGATGAGAACTTATTTTAGAAGTGAGAAGAAAATGAAGACGAAGAAAACAAAGTAAAAAGAAGTCAAAGGTTGACCCAAATAAAATTGGGTAGCCTCCTGGCATAACCTCTCTTAAGAGGTATTACCAGAGATTAAAGAAAGCACCAGGCTTGAAGCCTTGGTACCCGGAGGATTTAAAAAGTGGAGTTACATGACTGAGCCTATAACTATTTCACTAACCCAAAAAACCCCTAAAAGTGATCAAGGGATAAAAGAAAGTAAGAGAGAAAGAGAGAGAGAGAGAGAGAGAGAGATGAAAGTCTCTCACAACCCAAACACTGTGTGACTCTGTGGTTAGAGTAGTGAAAGAGTTAAAACTCTAAAGAAAACTGACTCAGGCTAACCCCAACCCGAGTGATCGAGTATAAGAGAATCAGTGTCTCTTATGAATCGACTACACTGTACGAGCTGATGGTTAGAGTAGTAATTCTAGAGTTAGAACCCTAGGGCATTATCTCAGGACGACCCCGAATCGAGTGCTCAAGAGTGAAAGAAGCAATGAGTAAGAGAGTGATTGAAGAAAACAATGAAATAAAGATGAAAATAAAATGAAATGAACAAAAAGGGTCATGACTTAGAGAGAGAAGAGAGTATCTAAAATGAGAGAAAATGAGGTGAATGGGGTCAAGGGACAATAGACATGCCTATAGTACAGGTCCGGACTCTAGGGGTTGATAGAGGAGTGTATGAAAAATAGGGCGGATGGAAGAGTGTAGCGAGAGTAGGGCGGATAGAGTGTTAAATGAAAGAGGGGCAGCTAGGGTGTAAGATGAGAGAGGGGTGGATAGGGGATGAGATGAGAGAGGGGTGGATAGGGATTATATGAGAGAGGGGCGGATAAGGGTTAGATGAGAGGGGCGGATAAGGGTTAGATGAGAGACGGGCAGATAGGGGTTAGATGAGAGAGGAGCAGATAAGGGTTAGATGAGAAAGGGACGGATAAGAGTTAGATGAGAGAGAAGCGGATAGCGTATTAAGATGAGAGGGGCAGATAGGGGTTAGATGAGAGAGGGGCAGATAAAGTGTAAGGGATGAGAGGGCAGATAGGGATTAGATGAGAGAGGAGCAAATAGGGTGTTAAGAGATGAGAGGGATGGATAGGGGTTAGATGAGAGAGAGGCTAATAGGGTGTAAGGGATGAGGAGGGTGGATAGGGGTTAGATGAGAGAGAGGCTAATAGGGTGTAAGGGATGAGGAGGGTGGATAGGTAGAGAGAGGAAGAGAGGCGGATAGGTAAAGAGGGGAAAGAGTGGTGGATAGGTAGAGCGGAGGGGGAGGGGGGGGGGGGGGGGGTAGGTGGGATAGGAGAGATGAGATGAGAGAATGTGGTGGATAAGAGTGAGGACGAGAGAGAGTGAGAGAGAGAGGTGGACTAAGGAGAGGAGCGAACGAGAGAGAGACTGAGATAGTAAAGAGAAAAGAAAGAGTAGGTAGACCTGCCTAAGGCACGGGTCCGTCACTTTGATGAGAGAGTAAGAGAAGGGGATGGGGCTTGGACCCGCCCTAGGTTCGAGCGGAGGAGGAGGAGGAGAGAAAAAAGAGAGAGAAAGAGAAATAGAGAGGAGAATGAAAGAAAGAGAGAGGAGAGAGACAAAAGGAGAGAGAAAATAAGAGAGGAGAGAGAAAGAAAGAGAGAGGAGAGAGATATAAAGAGAGAGAGAGAGAGGGGGGATAAAGTGGACCTAGAATGGGCTTGAGCCTAAGTGCATTTCATCGGTCATTTTGCATGCACATGAGAAAGAGAGGTTTAAGCTTTAGGTCAAGGTTAGAGTCTAGAGGTCTAGGTACCTAGCTTAGGTGGGTTGGGTTAAGTTATGGTGTATAAGGACTAGGGTGTATTGAATTAGGTAAGGTATACGCTAGTTAAAGGCAATAGGATACTATAATGTATGGTGAAGTATGGTGTATAGCGTAGACTAAGGTGTAGGATAACTTATGTAAGGTGTAGGGTGTTTGGAGTAGGATTGGAAGCTAGGGGTCCTAAGGTGTATGGAAGCTAGCAGTTCTAGGGGGTTGGGAATCCTAAGGTAATTGGAATTTTGGGGTTCTAAGGAGTGAAGGGTTTTAGGGGCATTTTCTCTCTATAGGAAGTGTTTTTCTCTCTTCCTTTCTTGAGTCTTGAACTTGAAAGCACAACAAAAAGAACAAGCCTATGCGTTAGAATTCTCAAGCCTTTCTCATTAATCTCAAACACTTTCAAGAGAGTGCATTAAAAATGACTTAAGTTCCTTATATAGAGCAACAACAAAAAAAGGGTGTAATACTAAAAAAAATACACATTTTATAATTAAATATTAATTCTGTGTTTAGATCAAATGGCCAAAATACCTTTATACACTTTTCAACAAATGACAAAACCATCCCTCCATAAGGGACCTCTTGCCATTGTTAGGCCTCGGGAGTTTTTTCAGATGCTTACGGTGGTAATTCGGGTGATTAATCATCGTAAGATCGATGCTTGAACTATTACGCACGTTTTGATACCCTTCGACCATTTTGAAAGGGCTTTTTAAGGACGAACTCAAAATCGGGCCAAGTTCCATAAACTTGTGATTCTTCGACTACCAATCCGTTACGATCTATGACGTTCTAAGCTTTCATTTTGATCACAAATTGAAGAGGATACTATCACAATAATTTTGTGATAAATTTCATCCATTTTGATCTCCGTTTGAGCACATTCCAATTTTGAAAAGTTGTCAGAAAATGGGATTCCGGCGACCAGAAAAGTATGTCATCTTTGACCTCAAAATTCATGTCATCTGACCTCCGAACATTCACAAAAATCATATCAAACTGTAGCTCTTCGAAGCACGGTCGCAACTGATCCATACTTGCGACAATTGGACATTGGGATCTTGAGCAATGGCCTCTCAATGAATTGGATGTTCTTTTTAAAATCTAAATTTTCATGTTTCAAACTCATCTTCTCTCTAGAAATTCTCTTGTTTCGGGTCACGTCTTTGACCTCAAAATTCATGTCATCTGATCTTCGATCATTCACAAAAATATATCAAACTGTAGCTCTTCGAAGCAAGGTCGCAACTGACCCATACTTGCGACAATTGGACATTGGGATCTTGAGCAATGGCCTCTCAATGAATTGGATGTTCTTTTTAAAATCTAAATTTTCATGTTTCAAACTCATCTTCTCTCTAAAAATTCTCTTGTTTCGATTCACGTCATGACATGCGCTATATGTCAAAACGAGCGTATCATCAAAATGTAGCTTATGTTTGAGCTTAATTGGACCCAAAACGAGCAAATTATAAGCATTTGAAAATCACAAACTAGTTCACTGAGGCTGCACCGCTATAGTGTCCGAATAAGTTGAAAGTTTGGCCCAAAATAGTCTCGGAGGGTCCGATTGAGCCGAAAGTTGGTACTTAAGGGTTTTTTGACGTTCCGGATCCAATGGAGGTGGTCTAATATGGTTTTTAGATCTATTCAATAGGGCTATAATTACAGGATATATTTTCAACATGAAATGATGGATTTGAAAACCAAGTTTCGTTCTGATCATACCAAAACTTGTTAGAACACAACAAAACTTTATGAGTGTCCTTAGGGTATCCAAAACTACTCTCTCATTCAATTTGAGTCCATTTTGATACTTTTTCAAAGGTTACCCAATTTTAAGTTTATTACTATAATGTTCCTATGGTCTGGCGCATATTGGACACCGACGGGATCAAGTTACTACCGGCTCTCTTCTTATTCACTCCGGGGATACAGGTACGTCAAAAATGACGAATAACAATTACTTGTACCATACATTCCAATTCACAAAAACCGGTTTTCAACATTTCATGATTTACTAGTAGGCCCTGGTGCATACCCCATAAGAATGGCAAGATGATTCAAATGATTCCTTCAAATGTTTATCTGGGATTTGAGAAGGCCAGAAATTCGAGATGGCCATTGGGAGCACACAATGTTACATTTTACATTTCCAAAAAATTATAGACATCGTAACTCCTAGTACTTTTGGGATACACTTTAGATCCCATCACATCATTATTTTTTCTTGTATTTACTCCCTCAGTCAAAAAATAGAAAAAATAGATATTAAAATATCATTTTTCTGTCGCCTCTCTTTTTCTCTCTCTACCTACCCAAACTCCCCCTCTCTCTTTGCCCAAACTCCCTCTCTCTACCTGCCTTCTCTTTTTCTCTATGCCCAAACTCCCTTTTTTTCTTTATCTGCTCTCGCTCTATTTCTCTCACTGCCCAAAGTCCATCTCTCTCCACCAAAAAAACCCATTGAAACCCATGTTATAGAAAATTTATGAGAAAATTGCCCCAAAAATTAAGTGGCTGAAGCCTGCCTGAGAACCGTTTAGCATTGTGAAATCCGATGAGTTAACAATAGTTTTACTGGGAAGATATCTCTGAAATTGGCTAAGATTTTTCAACCGCGAGTGCTATAGACTGTTTGTATCTCATTTGGGTTCTTCATTTTAAATTGTGATCTCAATCTCTAGACATATAAAAAAATAAAGATATATGGGTTTTTTTGGGCAAAGAGAAAAAACAAGGGCAGGTAGAAAGATGCAGTTTGGGTAGAGAGAGAGAGTGCAAACTGAGAGATTAGAGGGGGTTTAGGCAGAAAGAGGGAGTTTGGAAAAAAAAAAAAAAAGCGGGTAGAGAACGGGAGTTTGGACGGGGAGAGAAGGCAAGTAGAGAGAGAGTTTAGATAGAGAGAGAAAATATGCATTTTAGTTCTTATTTTTTGACTTTTCAATTAAAGATAAATACAAGAAAAAATAATATTGATATTTAAAATGTGATACCACATAGGAAGTCTACAAAGTTTAAGTATATATAATTCTCCCAATTCCTTTAGACCCAATAACAACATAACCATATCCAAGAACTTTTAAGCATAGAAACCGATACGTAGTAGCTATATATGGTACACATAGGTATTTAATATACATAAATACATGATAAGAAAGCCCTTTTAAAGCGGTTCTCCCAAGTCATAGAAGTTCATGTAGAGAAATTATAAATTAACCGATGTCACACAACCCTAACATTAATATCTCGAAGTGGAAATTATAAATTAACAGAAGTCACACAACCCTAACATTAATATCTCGAAGCATTCATTGTTTATAGTAGGTCATTGGGAGAGATCAGACTCTTTAGGTTGTGCACTCAGGGTGTATTTCTGCAATAGCTCGATTCTTTTTTTCTCCATCTCTCTTTCCAAGGCCACTTCCTCTTCACGGTGACGGCATTTCGCTTCCATTAGCTTTTTGTGATGTGCCTCCAGCAAAGACTGCTTCTCAAGTTCATAGTCCTCGGAATTCTTGAGGCTTATCTCAGCTAACATAGCCTGCCTTGCCATTTCTTCTTCGATCCTAAGTCACATAATGATAAGAAACAACATCAGCTAAATCTCTATAAATAATAATTTGAAGCAAGTAAACTTAGTCATGGGTCTCAGCAACACATGCAAATAAAAACAAGCAGAGCAATCAAGTTCAAGAGAATCAGTCATCATTTTACCTAAGGTGATTCCAAAAGGCAATAAGCATTCAAAATGGGGAATACCATAATTGAGGGATTGGGATCCAGATCAGTAGTGGGAGATCATGAAAAGCTAGCCTTTTGGGGGATCTTTATCTCTACCTTTTAGGATCTTGCTTCCAACCTCAAAGAATATGTAATTTAGGACTATATATACTCTTTCAAAGTGTGGATCTCTTTATTTGTAACCAGTGAGTAATGCAACTATATTAAAAATATGTATTGCTGGCAGGCTATAAATAAAGAAAATCATCAATTTGGTTATCTTAAGTCTCGAAGGCGGGAATCGAGATACAAAAACTTAAAAATCTTGATCACTTGAAGACCCCCTTCCCGGAGCGCCAGAAGAAGATTTGGATATCACTGCCAAGTTGGAAGATCCAACAACCATGGGAAATACACCGAATTCCAGTAATCATGAAAACCATGGTACATTGAGGCCATGGTTGTTCAATAAAATGATGGGTGGTGCAAACAAGTAAAGCAGTCGACTCTAATAGAAATAGTCCTCATTATTTTAAGGTGATTCTAGAGCATAATATGCTTGCTATAGTCCAGTGGACTACGGCAACTGTAGTCCATTGGGCCCAAGACCATCCAATGAAATGAAAGGTGGTGAGTGAAGAGAGTGGGACCCAAGTTTGGGCTATGTTCTAATCTGGTGGGTTCACTCTTTATCTCATGGATGTAGTTTCCTTAGCCCTTTGGACTATAGTATGCTTTTGTTTACATGTGTTAACAGCTATTTCAGTCCACGCTGAATATCCAACCACCATTACATTATAATGAAAGCATAATTGAAAGAACCCACTTCATCAGCATATTTAAAGGGTAGAATCCCAACAAGAATAACAAAAGAATCCCACCAATTTGAATAAACAACAACAACCACAACAACGACAATTACAAGAACAATAATCACAATAAGAATAATTAATGCCAACAACAAAACGACGACAAAATAGCAATAAGTGAGTGTCCCATTGTATTAGAATTTATTAAAATGAAATGAAAGTCTAGACCTGAATGCAATTTGGTGCACTTTTAGACTAAACTGAGCATATTTATTCCATGGGTAAAAGAGCCAATCATGTAAGAAATGAGCACATTTGTTTACATTGAGGGATAGTATAAACCAGGGCACACGACAACAAGGTTAGAGAAATTACCTGATCTTTTTTTCTTTCTGCTCCCCATCTGCAGAATCTGCAGTGATCATGATGGTAGAGAATTGCATTTCGAGCTCAAGGCACCGATCCAAGTATGTTGTCTTCAATGCATCTTGCACCTTCTCTAGCTGCTTTTCTCTTTTCTCAAGATCTTCAGTCAATTTTCTGATTTTCTCTTCATAAATTCGGTCCAGATAATCCATCTGCTCAAACAATTGAAGGCCATTGATCAATTTTAAATGAACGTTAATATTGAGGAATCATGACAAGTATAGTCGCATGGTTAAGAGGGGAACCAGAGCTATATGATAAGACTTGGTTCGATTTAGCATTTAAAAATACAAAACTTGCAAAAATCAAGTTCACAAATTCAGAGGAAGAAAACATGCCTCCTCTTTGGACTCCTCAAGCTGTTCAGTGGCTCTTTGCCTTATAATCTTGATTTCTTGTTCACGAATGCGTAGATTTTGTCCAATGACATTGCATGTTTCCTCCAAAGTCTTACTGTGCTCTATTTCTTTTGAAACCTTTCGGTGAAGTGAGAGAAGCTCTTGATTATCTTCATCCATCTTCTTCAAGGGCTCCACAACCATCATATGGTATGACTCTATGTCATACTTCACCTTTTGTTTGCCTAACGAAGGTTCATTATCAATAGTGTGGTTGCGCACATAAAAGAGTATAGAAAAAAAAGAAAGCCGAAACATCAGCTCAATAAAGAAGATTGAAATATAATCAGTAGAAGGAAACTATATTACAATCCAACGGACAATGCAAACCCTTAGTTTAATGAAGTCATCATCATCCAGTAGAATGAGCAATGGGGATGCAGATTGAGTGGGACACACCACCAGAGAGATTGAGCAGGACCCACACACACTCTCTCCCACATCACTGTCTACCACTTCATCAAACTGTGACAACCTCAATGGATTATGAAGAAACCATAGTCTAGTGGATCATAGCATACTCTATCTTTAGTTAGAAAGCAAGACAAGTAAAAAAAGTAAGACAAGTAAAAAAGGAAACATGTTCAAGAGTCACACTGCATAGTGTCCAATAGTACAGAGAAACTTAGATTTTTTAACATAGAGAAACCCACTCATTCACTTAAAAACACATCAATACCTTTGGAGTGCCTGTTAAAAATTTCCATTTCCTCCTTTGTAGCCATGTATCCATAGAGAATGCGCTTTCCAGCTGAGTGCTTCCATCCTCGATGATTTTCCCATTCATCTTTACCTCGTCCTTCTTTTAGGAAGTGCTTGTGCAAACGTTCAGCTTCTAGGTAGCCCATGGCAGAGCTTTCAAAGATAAGAAGACCAATCCCACGGTGCCCAGATGGCCCATAAGCATTCCTAGCCTTCATGGCTTTGTATCCACTGAAATATTCCATCAGATCCTCGTTTCGCATTCCAAGCCACTGAAATCATAAAGTCATTTAGAAACTTACAGCAAATTTTAGGATACTATAAATAGGATAAATCCAAACAATCTGATCCCAAGCCAGTTAGAAACTCAAAGAGTTTAGACCACTAGATTGAAACAAAAAACAAAGGCAGATTGATTCAAAATGGTTATATTGTAAACAAAAAAAGAATGTTTATAAATGGTACTTCAAAGTAGTCTATCCAACTATCGATCTCATTTCCCAACAGGTGATACATATTCACATAGGAGTCCATGTTGCAGTCATTGACAATTCTGTGCCTGTATCATGCCTGGACTTGTTTAAGTGTAGCCATAGCATGCATTGATGTATGGAAGGTGAATTTGAATAAAATGTTGCTCATCAGAAAATGTATTAAAAAAGAGGTCCTGAAGTTTCATTAGAACAAAAAAGAAACGGGAAAGGAAAGGAAAACTCTGGGTGCCAATATACTATTGCAAAGAATGACATTCAAAAGAACACAAAAAAGTATGATCAGCATCTAAAACACTAATAGCAACAAGAACAAGAATCACAGTTCTCGTGTAATGTGGGAGTCAAGGTTATGTCGCACTGCACAGAATAAAGGTCGAAGGTTTCCCATCTCACATATGTTACCCATTAGCCAACCCATCTAGAGATATGAAACAATCATATCTACAAAATGAAGTTTTAATATTTTTTGACACCCCCTTTATGGTTTTTTTCAATAGGTAGTTTTGAGAACTTTATTTAACTACCTAATACAGAAAGCAGGTTCAGGATTTAGAGAAAGAAGACACAAATTTGCGCATAGTAAAATCATTGGCTATCCGTTATTACCAATTTACCAGTACAAGGAGATGTGGATAAGCCACCAGCCATATGATTGTGCCCAAAGATATGACCTACCTACAATATGTCAAAGTAATGGAAATAATATCCCTCTGCTCAAAAGAGTGTAGAAAAGTTGTTCAAACACCTCAAGGCACAGGTCTCCTAGCAAAGGTAAAGTGAATGTCAACAAAAAGGGAAATGGAAACTAACATGACCCAATTATGGGTGAAGCCAAAGGTAGCATTACATTGAGACAGAGACAAATAGGGGCAGACTATGGGTACAGAGAATGTCAGAAATTCAAATTCTGGGTGCGCACAACCTGCCTTATAAAGCGAGTAAAGAATTTGCAGCAATAGAGATGCATTACACTAAACCCTTGTTTAAGAACAACAAGGCCTCTTAAGAAGAAGTTTATAGCTGAACAAGCAGAGAGGCAATTTACCCCACTTCATAAGGAGAGAGCGGTTATCAGCATGGGAAAGCCTTAGTTTCATAGCCAACAATGAAGGTGAAGCTAAGTCTAAAGTTGGTGATTCTGGTATGCGAATAATAAATAAAAAATATGTTCACATTTTGGAAAGTATTTTTTTTCTTTATGAATAAGTTTTGGAAGCACTCAAATGATAATACAACAATCATAAACTTGTTTCAGCGTTAAGATGTAGATCTAATAAATTCACAAGGGACAATTTCATAGTAGTAGTAGTAACACTCCCAAACCCCTGATCCAACAACAAGAAAAAGAAAAAACAAAGTCTACATTCACAAATAGAATGGCCAACAAAAACAAAAACAACATGGAGCCACATTTGATTATGTATGCTAGTAAAATCCAAAGAAATATTCAGAAATTTCTTTTACAAACACAAAAAACATCAAAATATTGATTTCCAAATTATTTAGCCAAGGGATGAACATGCCACTGTGAGAAGTCCATAACAAAATCTTTGAGAATCACTCATCCACAGCATTTCATTGAAGCAGCACGTGCAGATATCAACAAATCAATTGAATCCAATAGCTCCTTCCTTTAGATGAAATGTGTAACCAAAATAGGACAACGAACAGAATTCCCGAGCAGTAGAACAAAAAACTGAAAAGAGATTGATGTAAACCAGAAGAGGATCATTGATACGAATACCCGTAGACAAGAATATGAAGGAAACAGTTAACAAGGCAATGATCCTTGTAGGACAAGATAGTGATCAACAGGAATGTACAAGAAAGTGAAGAATTTTCTCAGGACGATGATCAACAAATCTACATGGAGCAGATTTCAGAACATGTAACCATACAAAAAACAACTTCCAAAAAAGGATGCTGAAGTTACAAATAAAAGTGAAGTGAACAACTGACAAAATTTATAGGCTTAAGTTCAGGAAAATCTTTCTTTCGGGGTAGTTGATATTCAGGAAAATCAATCAATAATGTGTATCACCCCATTCCATTATATAGAGGCCTTGAAGGCATGTCTTCATGAGAATGAAAACTGTTGACCTTTTGGGATGGTCAAAAGGAAGTTGGTCCCAAAAGAGCAGCTCAACCACACAGTATCATAAGTTGCAATGCTAGACTCAAGGCTCACTATACGAAGGCAGCAATCTATAAATGCTGTAGTATGAAACTCAAGTATTCTAGCTCTAATATAGACAAATATGAGAGACAAAGAGTGTGACATGAAACATGCAGTTCCAAAAGGAATGCCTTTTAAAATACAAACAAACATTAATATACCCCTGATGTAATAAAACTCACTCTGTTACATAACTAGTTCCCATGTATCAAACACCGTCGAGTGCAAATACTTAAGGATTGCCAAAAGTGCATGTATATTTTATTGCAAGCATCAATTGATATGAAACTGAGTTGTTTATAAAGAAGAGTTGGATACACTACTTTCACATCGTTATCTTTCTTCCATGTGTACAAATAGGGTTATTGGTTTATGATGTTCAAAAATGAATTCAAGCATCAATCATTCATAGCAAGCTCCATGCACTTGGAATAATTCACTTCAGTGAGTTTGATAAATTTCATAGTACGAAGTTTGGCATCTGAATGAGAGAAATGAAAGAACATGAAGAATTTTTACATTTGCAGAACTCCCCAATAGGTACTTGAGCATTTTATTTCCCTCTTTTAAGTTATTTGATAGTGTAGCATCAGATAGTTGAGGATGAGTGCCAGAACAAAACCATAATCACAGTATGTCAATCAGCATTAACTTTAATCTATGACCCATTAAGCCTATTGAAATTCAAAACGCCTTGAAAAATAAGTAAAAGAGGAACAGAATAAGAGTGAATCAGAAACAGCATGGAATTTTTAAAACCATCCATCACCATCAAAGAAATAATAACAATAACATAAGTTATGACATACCAGTAAAGACAAAATGAGAAATGACAACAGTTCATGTGCACAGGAGCATCGTACTCAAATAAAATTCTAATCAGTTTTTGCAAAACCGGCTGGGTCAACCCGGAACTGGCCACTGGCTTTGGCCAGTTTTGGCCTGTTAGAGTGGTCAATCGGTGAAGTTAAAAAAAGTTCAAACAAATATCAAAAATCTAAAAAAAAAAAAAGAAACCTGTTTGTGATAGGTTTTTTAATGTTTTCTATTGTCTTGGAAAAGCTTGGGAAGTATTTTGGCCATAAATACTTATTTTTACATTTCCCCTTCTTTTTGGATTATTTCTAAAATACCCCTGGGCACAAATTTGATTTCTCAAAATCCTTTTGTTTTGTTTTTTGAAACACTACTTTTTTATCTCATTTGGATGTATTTTGTTTAATTATACTTTAAACATACTTTTTATTTTTATTTTTTGGGATATTCTGATATTTAAAAAAAAAAAATTAACCCTTTCTAGTCCGGCCGGGACCTGCCCGATTAGGCCCGGTTACCCGGACCAGTTCTGGGTCACCCGGACCCTGCCCATGGCCAGTTTCCATTCCCCGGTTTTTCTAACACTGGATTTTCAAAAGCAAAAGATAAGGACATCATAAGCAATTTATTGTTGTTTCTTGCCTCATACAACTGAAAAAGGCTTCGAAACACCCAGAAACAAGATGTAAAAACATTAACAGCCTGCCCAAACATAATTATCAAAAAAATGCAAACTTCCCAAGTACCTCAAAGCCATAAACCTCAGACACATAACCATAACATAACATACCTATTGAGGCAACATAGGTCATCATCATCATCACCCAAGCTTTATCCCACCTATTTGGGATCGGCTCTATCTAGACTACAAATGTAATTCATAAATACAAAATACTTCCATTAAGCTTATACAAGTATATCTCAGTTTCATAGAATAAGACTTCTCCCCAAGACTGAATATCTGATACATCAACAGAGAAAATAACCATAGTCATAACATCTCTCTCAAGACAGGATACTGGATCCATCATGCATCAATATAAAACATTGCATTCTGCTTGCACAGGAGTCGAAGCAAACCAAAATGACCATCAAAGTTCAAACTTTCACCACATAGCCTGAACATTTCTATCAAGACCAAATATCCATAAATACAAAAAAAATCAGTCATTGAATGAATATTTTGGTAAAAAGAATTTGGTGGTACCACTCAAAACAACTGATTCTTCAAGCAATAAGCTACGGAAAATAAAACATTAAATAAAGAAAGCCTGTTTTACCTGTCCTTGATCATCATGATCGAACCTAGTGTTTTGGATGATGACCATAGGAGGCCAAACAATTTCTCGGTCATTATCTGCCTGCAAGCCCCTCCACCTCCCCACCATCTCCTCTAGGACCAGAAAGTTAGCCCCCTTACTCCTCAGCTCCTCTTCGAGGATTTCTGCAAACTTCCTATGCAGCTTCACTCGCTTGGAGCTCAAAGTCTTGGCATGAGACAAGATGGGCTGTAGGCCCCTGTACCACTCAACCTCACCAACCCCACCTTTGCAAGCAGGACAATGGAAAGAGTCGTTTGGCTCATTTATTTCATCAGAGCGCAAGGAGCTGACAAGCGCAAAGAAACCCTTAAACCATTTGCTATTTCGTATCATATCTGAGCTTAACTCACCACCATCAGAATCGCAATCGTCATCACTCCACATCAGCTCGTCTTCTTCGTCATTCTCATCGTCGAAATCTACATTTTCATCATTTGACCCACCGCTCAAATCATAGTTTGATGATGGGTCCTTTATTTTCCCTGATTGCTCAAAAGGAAGAAACGCAGGCTCTAGATCACTTCTAAATTTAGCCGTTTTCCCACCAGATTTCCCCAACTCTGAGTACCCTGCCTCCTCAAATTTGGATATCTCGCCATTTTTTGAGCTTTGTCCACCATATCCAGGAGGATGTGGGTCCCTATTCTTCCATTGCCAGCCATTAGAAAGAGGAGGACCAATGGAGCTCACTCTCTGAGGCCTCGAATTCCCCTTATTTGGCAGCTGACTTCTTCCATTAATGGCCTCAACCTGACCACTGTTCCTATACCCGTTATTGAACTGAGGAGCTCGCGGTCGATTACCGGAGGAGAGATGAGGAGAAACAGAGTTTTGATGCCTGGCTCTCCTAGAAGGAGTGCTTTTCCATCCCTCATCCTGGCTGGCAGAGCCATTAGTAGTGAGTTTATCAGTAAGCATGGTAATGGAGCTGGATGTGTAAAGAGAGCTAGAGGCTGTGAGCTTTTGGCCCGAATTCTAAGGTGTCTTTTACTTGGGGTTTCTCGACCTGAAAGCTGTCATCACTGAGCTCGCAGGTAAACATGGGGGCAGAGCTTTAATGGAGAACATATTTTCCCATACGGTGAGATCTCTAACGATTTCTTGGGCGCCACTTAATTAGGGTTTCTGAAACTTTGAAGCTTTAAAAATCTATTGAAGCTTTACTCAACCCAACACTTTCTCTCTCTTGAAATGTGTCGACTCTCTCTTTAAGATTTCTTAGAGGGAAAGGGAGAGTGGAATTCACAAGTTACATGACTTGTCCGTTACTAGAATCCATCCATCACATTAAGCTCTGATCGGTTAATAATACTCACGGCATACCAATGATACAGTGCCACGTTTCGTGACTTTTATCACACGTGTGCAGATCCTCGTAGTTTCGCGTGTCAAATTACTATTTTATAGTATTCCACTTAAGAAAAGGAAACTATGGTGTCAACCTTATATTGTACTAATAAGGTATGTTCAAAATCAAAGAAGGTTGTTTCATGCTAGAAAACTTCGAATTGATTATCTTGATTTAAAGATTTATGCTCATTAAAAATATATATATATATATATTTTGTATTGAAAAAATAATTTATTTTTTGACATATTATTTCGATCATTTATTTTTTTTATTTTCAACTGCGTATAGATCTACTTGGTCATCATCATTTTGTAGAACTTTAAATTTTATAATTGAGGGCAACAATAAACTTTCATATGACCGCAATACGGCACCAAACTGTATTTTGAGCATAATTTTGAGATGCAACTTATTTCAATAGTATAAGGTTGACACCTTATACAAACCTTAGACTTTATTTAATAATTATACGATGGGTGGATTACTAGAAATGGGGTGGGCTCTAGGGAGGGGTCGATTCGATCGATTGATCGTGAAAATTAAACGCTCTCGGAAAAATTACTTTTAATACCCTTTCTAATATAGTTAAGACTAACGCGTCCCTGAAATAAACTTCGTGTATTTTTTGCAATTTTTGGTATTTGTGTTTTCTTTGTAACCCTTCTTTTCTTTCGGATTTTTTTCAGATTCGTTTCTAATGAAATTAAAGAGCTAACTGTTACAATTTGCCTCCACATTTTTTTTATTTTTTTATTTTTTAATCATTGAACCAGCCCCCACTTGATTTTGGTTTTTTTTGTTTTGTGAGCAGATTCGGATAAAAAAATCCAGAGAAACGATATGGGTTGCCGATGTGTTTTTTTAACTTAAAAAGCTAATCCTAATTTGGTGCGCTTGGTTGATTAGGTATTTTTTAAAGTAATTAAAAAAATTGTTTCAATTTTTTGACCCGAGCAGCCCAATTCAAAACATGGACCCAAATCCATTTCAAGTTTACGACCCAATTGCCACACCCTACTCTACTTGTGAGTATAAAGGTTAAACTTGTGGTAAAAATGAACGGAAATTAATGTATAATTTTTTTTTCCAAAATCAAAAAAATGGTTCAAATTTTTCCAATTTACATACGGGTCTTTTCTATCATTTTTTTATTTCTCAAAATATCGAGGGTTCGACCTTTGAATGGTGGAACTGGTTCTAACAAATGTTGGCTCAACCTTTTAGGACTTAAAATGGCTCGGGGCTAACATAAGCCAGTTTGGCACTTGATGTTGACAATCGTTAGTTCGATCCTTCAAGCCTCGAACTTGCTCCTAGTACTCAATTTGGCCCTTCAAGGATTGAATGAATTTATTGGCTCTAATAGAAGCCACATCGACCCTTTGAGGGTCAAATTGGTGCTCATAATTGCTTGATCCAAGAGGTCTTTTTAAAGACGTGTTTGTTTTTTTGAAAGTGTTCTTTCAGATTTTGAAAAAATTACGCATTTGTTTTACACTTTTCATGAAAAGTTCATAAACTAATCTTTCAACAAAAGTTCATAAATTAATCTTTGAACAAAAGTTCTCATTTCTTTCTTAAAAAGTGAAAGATTAAGTTCAAAGAGGGTAGGTAGGAACTTAATCTTTGAAACTTTTTTGTTAGTCACTATTCATTATGTATAATATAAATACATAATATTAGTAGTATTATAAATATAAATATAATTTATATTATATAGTATATAGTGATTATATATTATACATATAATATTACATATATATTATATAAGGAAAAAGTTTATATAAAGATGCAACCTTATAATGTAGAACTATAGATGCACCTCAAAAATCCATCGGAAAGGTAGTTTTAATGTTGAAAAACCCTTTGATTGATCATCTCGGCATCGAGATCATCTCGACATCGAAGATGTATGACT